GTACTGTGGCATCACAGCTCACAGCAACCTCTAACTCTTGGGTTTAAGCGATTCTCTTGCCTCAGCCTCCCAAGTAGCTGGGACTACAAGTGCCTGCCACAATGCCTGGCTATATTTTTGTTGTTGCAGTTGTCACTGTTGTTTTAGCAGGCCCAGGCTGGGTTTGAACTTGCCAGCCTGGGTGTATGTGGCCGGCACCCTACCCACTGAGCTACGGGGCGCTGCCTATAGATAAAATTTGTAATCAATGGGGTGGCGCCTGTGGCTCAAAGGAGTAGGGCACTGGCCCCATATGCCAGAGGTGGTGAGTTCAAACCCAGCCCCGGCCAAAAATTGAAAAAAAAAAAAAAAAATTTGTAATCAATAAATTTTTATTCAGTATAGCAAAGATATACTAGATAAAAATTCTGTCAGATCTTTCCCCTTGGTGTTTATTATTCAATAAAGTACTTAAAATAATTTCATCAGATACTGTTTGAAATGTTTATTACAATACAATAAAATCCTCATCTTAAAATATTTAATTTTTTTTCTATTAATAAAAATCCAGTAAAATTCTATGTAAAGACCAATCACTTTTCACTGCATCTACTTTTCTTTTTCATTAAATGTAAAGAAAAAGTTAGATATTGGTTTATTTCCAGAAGAAATGAATTGTCACAGGATCTAACTTTTACATTTAATAATTACTTATCAGACTGTAATATGTTTATGGTGTTTTTAATAGTAGGGTAGCAATAATAACTACAATAGTAACTCAATCCAGACAGAGTTTGATAAAGTCGTGCACATATTTTCATAGTAATTTAATATGATAGCTCAATAACAGTTTTACAAGTCTTAAAGTAACAAAACTATTTTGTAAATGCCAATATTTATAACATACTAGATACTTTTACAATATCTTTCACAGCTTTTTAAACTTAGAATGAAATATTTTAAATAGCGACCTAAAAAGATGCAAATGATACAAAGTTTTAAAAAATTGGGAGAGGTATATTAGATAAACACGGACTCCTGATTCAGGAGCCTGGAACACGTGGAGTTGGTCCTTGCATGGCTGGGTCAATCGCTGCTATTAAATAAGGTAGTGCATTTTTTTCTCCCTAACTTCACCAAAAATATATTTCTCGGTTTCCATACTGAGCACCATGTACCACTTGGAAAAACAAAAGATTATACTTTGGAGATACTATGAGATCCCAGCTTAAACCTCAATTCCACTGTTTCAAAAGTCTGGGAATAGTAACTGGAAACTTGGCTGCCTGAGGTTTTAAGAAATCCTGCCTTAAATCAGTTAAAAAAAAAAATTAGTCACTTGAATCTTGGCAGAAGCCTTAATTCCCTAGAAATGTAAGGTTCTGGATAGAAAATTACAACTGCAGAACTCATTCACTTTCAGGAGACAGAAGACAGACGGTATCTCTGTGGATTAATGTTTTAGACTGCCCCGAGCTCCTTTGGGAAAAGGCGGATCTATCTGGAGTGGTGCAAATACAAAGCCAGATGTTCTCATTGTCCAGCAAAAAAAAAAACTATTTCAAGAGTTAAGCTTTTTTACAAGAATATCCTATGAAAGCCTCTATTTTAAAAATGCTTCAATTTTGTAAATTATATATCTAATTCTTGAGTTCGACTTATTATTTAAGTAAAGGAATTATTAATGTTAATAATAGACAACTGTACAAGTTAAATATCAGCACAGAATTTGTTAATAAAAGATATTTTAAAAACTTTTTAATGGCGAATGAAATCAATCCCTTTCATTATTTTCTGAATTCAAAACAGTTTTAAAAGGTGGTATCATGAGATAGGCTGGCCTAATGCTCACAGGGTATAATGCTTCATTGTGTTAAATACATATTTTGAAATGGAGAATCTGAATCTATTCCCATTTACCCACTGTTAGTTCTACCTTTAAAATAAACAGATCTAGGTGTAATACCACAAATAGCAGTGTTACATTTAAAAGTGATTTAGAACTATTTCAGGGGGAACAAATTATCTAGGCATTCTATGTCTCACAAGCCTCAAAAAACAATCAGGATTACTGAATTTTCTTCTGGGAATCAGACATCTAAATAGATGCTGTTGAGTTGTCAATGATCAAAACCCAAGTGCTTCTATTAGATTTGATTTTATAAATAACAAATATCTATATTTATACTAGCTCAGAGCCTTTGGTGTAAGATATTTAAGGTTTTTGTGAATGAATACTGATTTCCTTCAATTCGTTAGTTTTCCTGGTAAATTGCAGATTCTTGATCAATGGGAAAAGAATTTGAGTGCACTGGGAACCAGTGTATTAAAAGGGTCAGAGTCTGGGGGGAAGGTCAGTGTACCACTGGCCTCAGTGGGGCACAAGGAACTGAGTGTGGCAATATCAATGCACAGCTCTTACACGGGGGAGGTGCTGGGGCAACATCACATGGGTGTTTCCCTTCGACAAGTGTATGAATCTCCTGAGGATCTCATCAAAATCGGATTCCAGTAGGTCTAAGTGTGAGGCCTAATATTCTGTCTTTCTATCAAGCTCCCAGGAGATGCTGACCCAGCAGAGCCACTTTGAGAATCAAAAGTAATCGCACTGTTACTGTTCTTCCTGTCCAGAAATGAGATGGGCAGGCCAGAAGTTGGAGACCCAGGCTTTTGCATCAAGACTGCTGTTAAGCACCTCTGTGAATGAAAATTGTCTAAGGGACCTATTGACTCCTATAAAATTGCAGGTTTGGACCAGGTGATGCAGCAGGCCCCTTTGGGGTTATAAATATTTATAGATTTTTTTAAAGATAATCTTACTTTTTTTTTTGAGACAGTCTCACTATGTCACCCTCAGTAGAGGGCTATGGTATCACCACTCACAGCAACCTCAAACTCTTGGGCTTAAGTAAGTCTTTTGCTTCAACCTCCCAAGTAGCTGGGACTATAGGTGCCCACCACAATGCTGGGCTATTTTTTTGTTGCAGTTGTCATTGTTGTTCAGCTGGCCCAGGCTGGGTTTGAACCCGCCAGCTTCAGTGTATGTGGCTGACACCGTAACCACTGTGCTACGGATGCCAAATAACCTTACTTTTATTTTAGCTGCTGTCTTCTATGTTTTCTCTCATAAAGGGTTAGGAAAAACCAAGAAAGGAGTTCTGTTGTACTGTATTACTCCCAGAGCTCCCTGTTGAGGTGTACTTTGCATTCTTTGAGCTAAGATGATAGCTATTTCTTTTAAATCTAGATTTCCGCACTCTTCCTCCATAATTCTTAGAACACTGTTCAGATTTATATTTTCCTTTAAGGACATTTCTGGGGTTGATTGTTGCCTACATAAAAATGTAGCTCCTATTATTTTACATTTCAGAGGAGCTGTAGTATCTTTAAATAGGAGATGATCCTTTATTTAGAGCCAATCTCAGAAAATGACTCCTGCTAATGTGGCAATGGTGGGTCATGGTTTAAACTGCCTCTAACAGGGAACAAATCCTTTCCTTTCTCTGAATAGACTTTGAATCAGTTTCTCCTGTTTCTCCCCAATATCAGCGTAGACCACTGAATGGTGCAGACCTAGCTATGTGCTCAGAAGTGAGAACTAGAGCAAAATAAGGCTCTCAAGTGCATCTGATGTCTGTTAAGTCTAATACTTTTAATTTCTCTGTAGGCTAATGCTTTCTGTGACCTCAATGGAAGGATTTATAGGTAATAAGGAGAAGAATATTACAGAAAACATGTTAAGCAGTTGCCCTTCTCCAGGGGTAATAAAGTTCAAATCCACATCAGCTCTCTGTGCCTTTGCTCAACTGTCTTGAACTGGTTCTCTTCCCAATGGCTTAAGGACACGTGTTCCAATTAACACTTAGAGCATATCCTTTTTTTGAACCTTAGAGCATTCTT